CAAGTGCCCGTGGAGGCTGTGACACAGCACACGTTGCAGCAAATTTCGCTTCTTCCCCTTTCTCCATGTGACACAGACGGGACTTTAAACCCGGTGTGGCGGCAGAGGGGAAACTCTCCTTCCTCCCACGAGTGGCACTTCAGCATTTGAGCAGCTTGCTAAGGGTTTTTCTTCTGCTGTGGAGCTGAGAGGTTCCCCTTGAAAGCCCCGAGTGTGTGCTGGGATGTGCCTCAATCCAGCCTGGACTAATCCTTCCCTGGGACAAGCCAAGTGCACCTGGGTGAATATCCRTGGCTTAACAGCAGCCAGGAGGAAACGTGTCAGGAGACGTTYCATTCCTTAGTTAAACAAATCTCCACCTGAAAAGCTGCTCTGGGTTCGGAGCCGGCGCTGCAGAGCTCGGAATTCTCCGTGCTGGGATGGCTGAGCTCTGATAATTAACACAAAGAGGTGTCTCCAATGCAAACCGGGTCCCAGCTCCAGCGGCTGGCGGCACCAGCTCACCCTTCAGCGGAGCTGCCCTGATTTAATCTGACGTTATTTGAAAAAGCAAGATCTCCAGGGGCTGCGAGACTGGAGTACCTTTGTCCCTCCCTCATTTGTTTCTGCTTTTTTGCACTGATAAGCCTGGCTGGCCTGTGAAAGGGACCGAGCCAGAGCCATCAGCACCTCGGGCAAGGATTGTGCAAGACTCCAGCCCTTCCTCAGCAGCCYTGAGGACAGTGGCCATCCTCAGATGTGGCCAACTCTCCCCTGCAGCTCTCACAGGCAGCCYGACTCCTGCTCTTCCAAAAATTTTTGGCTTGGAGCAAACCAGCTCATGGAAGGTGTCCCTGCCCAAGGCAGGGGGTTGGAACAAGATGATCTTTAAGGTCCTTTCCAATCCAAATCCTCCTGGATTCTGGGATAAAAACACCTTTTTCCTGCAGTGCTTGCCCCATCCCTGTCTGCTGGCAGTGCTGTGCAGGGAAAGAGTCTTTCGGTGGCTCCCAGTGGCCACTTGCTGCTGTCCCCCCAGGCTGTCCCCAGCCGCAGTGGCACTGGCAGAGGGCAYGGGGTGCCAGCGGCAGGCAGGCCTGGGAAGCAGGTCAGGACAACCGGCTCTGCTGGTTCCCTCRGTGACTCAGCCGAGGTGTGAGCGCTGCTCAAAGGATCCCTGCGGTGCCTCCCTTTAAGCYGGGCTTTGTGGMTGGTCCAGCGGCAGCACAGAGMGGGGGTGATGCAAGGAGAGATGTGYCAGGCTCTGCCAGCATCTCCTCAGCCACCAGCTCATCCCAGCACTGGAAATGCTGCTGGATGTGCCYCTGCTCCTGGAATCTCCCTGTGCGYTGGGCTGGGAGCTCCTGCTCGATTTAAATGGTGCAAACAGCTCCAGCCCTCCCTGGTTCTGGCCATGGGGCAGACACCCTCCTGCTCATGGGCTGAGCTGCCTCTCCCCCCGCCTGGCGCCTCACCCACGCTGACACACTCAGCAGCTCCTCAATTCACGCCAGGGTAAAACCCGACCGGTCGGTTTTAAGTGAGGTTTAATGAGAAAAAAGATCAGCCAAAGACACGCTTGYGCTTCCTGAAATAGCCTGATGCTGCTGTTTCTGAGTTATGGGAGGAGGCAGGATTGCGGGGGGGAAGAAAAAATACCAACCAAGAACTCAAACCAAAGGCTGAASGAGACTCTGGTAACTTTTTTGCATTTTGGAAGCTGCTCTGGGATATTAAAGTACAAGATGGAGCAGATCCTGCAGTGACACGCTTTGGCTTTCCCCAGCACTCCAGAGAGCTGTTGCACCTCCCCAAAACGAACCCTCCCTCCAGCTGCAGCCAAGTTTGACCTCAGCCCTGCAGGTCACCACGGCTCAGTCAATGCTCCTTTCAAGCGCCGTGATGGAAAAAAACCGTGTCAAAGCAGCTCCAGCCACCTCTGCAGCTCTCCCCTGCGGAGCATCTCAAAGCACTTTGCAAAGTGTTCCCAGGCCCCTCCGGGAGATCGGGAGGTAGCCCAGCAATGGCACAGAGGAATTTGTCTGCAGACAGCGTTTGGGAACAGAGCCCCAGATGTGCAGAGGCAGGACCAGGCACAGATGATGCCTCTGCTCTGTGTGGCTGCGTCTCAAGCTGCAGGAGCTCCACGGCGGGGATAAACAGACAGATTGTTAAGGCTTGTAAAGCATAAATTCAACTGCAAATGTTCCTAACCTCTGCAGATCAGCTGCCTAGGATCTCTCCTCCCCTTCCCCCACGGCTTTCCAGTAACCCCTGTTGATATCAATACCTCGAATGAGGCGTGAGTTGATACCTGGTTCCAAATGGATGGGCACGGAAGGCTGCAGGAACCATGAATTGAATCCGTTCTGGACGATTGAACCGCTCACATTAAAGATAATTTGTAAAGCACATTTTTATACGAGACTCCTTACTGCTTTTATGGCAGGGGAACTTTTATTTCCTTATCAGAGAAAAAAAAATAAAGCTAACATTATCTGAAGGGGGAGGTGGATGGGAACAGAACAGAATGGCACTGATCAGATGGACACGAAAGGTTTTCCAGAGAGCAGACAGTGCCTCCTGCTTTGCTCTCATCCTTCTTGGGTGCTGGGGATGAAACCACATTTCCAGCAGGTCCACAGCTCCTAGGTCCCTTTAGTAGAGGATCCTGAGTTTTCCTCTCCTTGTTAAGCAATCTTGTCTGTATTCAAAGCTTAAATACAGCTTTATTTATGTATTTATATATGATTTTGGCACAATGCAATGCGAACTCGAGGAACTATAGAAGGCAACAGACCTGGGGTCTGGGGAAAGGCTCTGTGCTGTGGCTTYGTGCAGTGCTGAGCCCTGTCCTTCCCTGCAGCTCTGGGTCCCTCCACAGCACACACAAGCACCCAAATTAATGAAATAAAGGGATGAATAAATATGCAACACAGGATCAGACGCTCCTGCAGCTGCGGTGCATCCACCACTGAACTGGTCGGGCCGAGAGTCTCGCCCACACAGGCTGCAGGGCACCGCTGCTCCCGGACAGGCTTTGGGGGAGGATTATCCTCCCGGAACACTGCGGAGCTGGCTGTACCCCGGCCTTGGCAAGGCACCACGAGCTGCACCACTGGCTTATCCTGGCAGAGCTGTCAGCGGGACAGTGCGAGACAAACTGCCACGCTACTGCAGTGGCAGGAGACAAACCCGCCCGGCTGCTGGCAGCARAGCCCTGAGAACAGCCAAAAATAGGAGAAGTGCGGGGAAAAAAGTCTGTCTTGGCAGGACAAGGTGAGATGCCAGGCTGTGTCAGGGTCACTGCGTGTCTCCTTGGTGAAAGCGATTCCCAGAGGAGCACAAAGTCCTTTTGGTTTACCCAGCACGGTCACCACAGCATTACTGCACCTCCAGTGCCTTTCCCCGGGGCTGGGGGGAGGGTTCTCTGCACCGGGCTGCCGGGTGGAAGGATGAGAAGGAGGGAGGGATGGGTGAAGAACAGCATGGAAAGTTCTGAGAGTCCTTGTGAGCAGCCAGAGCTCAGCCAGGCACCTGCCTGCGAGCACAGAGGAGCGCAGGGAGCCCGAGGCTGTCCCTTCCCTCACCTCTTTTTGCAATGCACAGCAGATCCCTTTGTCCTGGCAACACCRAGGTACACCCAGCCCTGCTTTCTCATCGCCCTGTTAACCTCTTCCCTCTCACAGCCTCCCCGGTTTYTGGATCACCACCCCCTCCCATTTCATCCCTGCCCTCATCCATTTTAACCAGACCATCCAGTCGCTGCGATCTGTTGATCTCCCATGTCCTGATGTTATCATCTCCCAGTGTTTGCCAGCGCCAGGAAAGTCTGGGCCCTGGCATTGCTCTCATGGCCCAGACCTCGCTCCCTGCGGCCACAGCCCCAAGTCACAGCCCAGCCAGCCCGGCTGCCCCTCTCGGACGCAGCCCCAGCCCGAAGAGACCAGGAGTGGACGCAATTCCACCCTGCCTTCACTGCAACTTCTMTCCAGCTGCAGATCGCAGCCCTGCTGCAGGCACAGCCCTGGATCCCCACATGTGCCCGCTGCCAGCGCTCCAGCCCCTGCCGCCACCAGCCGAGCCCCAAAAAGGCAAACACGGGCTCTATTTGCATCTCTCAGTTCATTCACAGGCTGTAAACGCAGACTGCCGATCCCCTTTCCACGGCTCCGACTCCCGGAAAGCCCTCCAGGATGGCATTAACCCGTTCTGCACTGGAGCGGAATAAATGAGTCCCCGCAGGGCAGTTCCCAAAGTGGGTCACTCTCCCGCTTCCCAGCGCTGCGCTGGAGCCCAGGGCAGCTCCGAGCCCGGGGAAGGGACACACGGACGGCTCTGCCACCGCCCGTGGGTCCAACGGGCTGGGGAGCGCTCGATCKGCACCTTTGTCCATCCCCTCCTTTCCAGGGATGGATCAGAACCCAAGGGATGGATCGGAACCAAAGGGATGAATAAGATGCCATCAGGCAGCCAAGCTCAAAAGCAGCGAAAGGAAGCTCTGAAACCTGGGAGCGGTCCAGCCCCTCCGCGAAAAGAGCCCGTGGGAAGTGTGTGCGGAGGGGAGCGGGGATTTGGGGGATGCTGGAGAGCCGAAACCCTCCATCTCTCCTCCCGAAACATCTGCGCTCCGTGCCCAGCCTCGTGGCTGCCTYTCCGGGGAAGCCTGGCTGCTGCGCCTCGCTAGACGCCGCTCGATCCAAAAAGCAAACAAACGGCCTCAGCTCCCAGGGCTCCGGAGCCCGCTGCCTGCAGCTGCTTCCAAAACAAACGAGCGTGTTGTTCCGAGCCGAGCCGGCGCTGAAACCGGCCCCGATTCTCTCCCACCCTCGCACAGATGCTCCCACACCTGCTCCAGACCAGGGCGCGCACCCCAAAACGCCGATCCCACCCTTCCCCGCCTCTCCGCAGCCCTCCCCGCACCCCTTTTCCCCCACGGGCACCCCGCAAGCCCCCTCGGGGGCCGCCTCCAGCCCCGCAGTGCCCCGGCGGTGCCCAGCGCCCTCCGGGGACCGGCTCACCTGGTAGGAGCGCGGCTGCCAGGATGCAAACTCCGATAGTCCACCACGATGCACGGCAACTTGTMTGCAGCCGTGAAGCCATGAGAGTTCCTTAAGAGCGATGGGCAGGGGTCGGTCTGGCAGCGCCGCGGGGCCCCCCACCC